ATCGTGAATATTCTTCCCAATACCAACCCTTACTCCCATATTCAATTTCAGATCTCCAAGAAGTCAGGCCATGACAAGACCAAAAATACGAGCCATAAAAGTCTTTTGTCAACCAAGAGTCTTCATCAATAGCCTTACCTCCGTATATTTCATCCCCAGATGTCATGCTGAGAGAACTAGGAACACACTAAGAGAAAAATATCAAATATTTGTAAAAATAAAAGTATATACAAAAAAAAAAATTAAAAGTCTAATCTAGAAAAATAGCTAATTTCCAAGTCCCGGACAGCGGCGCCAAAAACTTGTCGCAGCCAAACGCACATGCAAGTATACGCGGTCGTCAAGTAATAAAGTGACTAAAAGTCGGATGTCGAACCCACGAGGACTTGTGATTAACTATTAACTAAATTAGACTATCTTAATTATCTAAACAAGAATTAAAACCTAGAAATATTTTATTCTAAACTAATTAAAATAAATAAAAACAAATAATGAACTTTGGACAGAGAATGAGCATATGTTTATGATATCAATGTAATGAAAACGATCTCGGGTTATGGGCTATCTAACATTCCTATTGTATTCTTCAATTGAATTAACTAACTAATTTATCTAGTTTATTGGTTGACAGGGTTAATATTGCTCATAAGAATCTGTCGAGTTCTTACTCGCCTATTCAAGCTAACCTAACTCCTATATGTCTGTGGAATTAGAACAACAAGAACGCATTTATAATTCCTGTAAATCAACCAAGCAAGGCAATTAGGTATATGTCTATCCTAACCGCGAATCCGTTCCCCGATGCCCAGGTTCAAGAACTTGCTCTACTCAATCCTATATGCAATCTAGAATTCCCACTTTCGAGTTCAACTCTAGATTCGTAGATAGTATTCAATTGGTAATCAAGCAATCAAATAATTAAGTGTAGGATTGAATAAATAAACCAATATGATAAACTAAGAAATCAAAATCAATATCCGAATAACAATAGTCATGAAAGAACCACAACCCTAGAACGTGAAATTTAGCTCTACATAGACATGGTAGCAATACAACAAATCATACAAAGAAACATAAAAATTACTAAGTTTGGAGAAAGAAAAGATGAAACCCGGCCTTCACGGCGGCTCTGTGCTTGTGTTTTCCTCTCAAAGACGTCCTCTTCCTCAAAATACAGTTTTTCCCTGTATATATACCAAGTAGGGTTGGGCCCAAATAATTATACCTTCTCCAATGTGAAAAAGGACATTTTTCCCGGGTGACTAGCGCGAGCTCGCGCATCCTTCGCGCTTGACTTCGCGCATATTCCTTGACATTCTGTCTCCAGCTTCTAGACTAGCGCGACTTTGCGCTAGAGTTCGCGCATTTTTCACCCTGTTCCGTTCCGAATTTGGAAAAATATAAAACATGAAAGTTGTAGCCCTTTGAGTTAGTTTTCCAACCATATATTGTGGAGCTAAAATGGAGTTCTGAGCAAAAACTTATATCTATTTTACTAGACAGTGTGCAATATGCCTACTGGAGTCTTCGTTCGCTCTAACTATCATCCGTTGACCCCCGAACACGATCCCGGCTTAATTCCATGATCTTTTACTCAAACTTTAAAGCTCCAAATCACTTGAATTCATTCCATAACATCTATATAGCTCAGAATCACTCCTACAAGGCACAGAACACACAGTTAGTGCAAAATACTAGCGATTAAAACTCAATCTCAATTAAAGTGCAGTAAATTAGAGTGTAATAATCGACTAAAATACGTAATTATAGCCTATCATCAGTAGCTCCTATCACTGAGAATGGAAATAATAATAGCTTGATTGCTTCCTGAGTTACGTTGGGCTGCCTTTGAGTTTTGCAGATTGACAGGAAATTATCTTCAAGTGTTGTTAAGGATCTTCGGCCTGTGACCCCGAAAATAGTCCCTTGTTTTGCAACAAGTGCAGCATGTTGTTCGTGATTTGGAACGATTCAGCCTTTATTTGTGGGACTAAAATCGTCGTGGCCAGATTTTCAGCTGTGGGTTGTGCCCAGTCATAGAGAGCAGCCTCTGGCACAAGAGGTGCCACTGGTGCTATTGGTGTCGCTGGGTCTACTTTGTGATCTCCCATGTCCGAATCGACGTGTTCAATTGTTTGTTGTTGTTTGCTTTTCCGGTTGGCCCGGTTCAAGGCCTTAAAAACCTTCTCGGGATCAGATAGAGCTTCGAATACTTCGCCAGTTCTCGATGAGTTTCTAGGCATGCACCTCTACAACCAAGTCAACAAACGTTAAGATTTCAATGTAAAGATTTGGAAGGAAGAAAAATGACTACACTAAGAATTTTGGTATTTCTTTCAATTGTAATTGATAACACCGTTAATTCCCCGGCAACGGCGCCAAAATTTGATCACGCCCAACTATGCCATATAGAAAGGACACGCGAACGTTGCAAATATAATCTGAGTATTTAGCCCAGAGTCGAACCCACAAGGAATTAACCTATCAATTACTCTCATTAGACATACGAAATTCTACGTAATCAACTTCCCAAACTTTCTGAATAACAATTAAGGATGTTTTTACTAACTAAGAATGAATGTAAATAAGCAACTGAAAACTAACAATGATTAAGTTGTAAACAATTAAGAGGAGGTTCCAAGGTTATGATTTCCCCAATTGATGGAATCCCTTCCTGTTATGTTTCACATAGAATTGCCTAATCGTCTCTGTCAATCATGAGCACTCTTATTATCGCAAATCACTCCTGAGTAATCACGACAATTTACTAGATGCACTCTCCCGAGTTACGCTAGCTGGCTTTGTTTATTACAGCTCACTTTATATTGCACCTGAGGCTTCGTTATCTCTAATCCGTCCTTTAAACCCTCGGTTATTGATCCCTCATATACTTTAGGAGTGGTGTTGTTCAACAATGACCTAAATATGCACTCTCTCCCGAGTTATGCACACTAAATAGGCAGAGCTAATTGAGGATCCTATCAATTAACTACAACAAGAACGTAGTTGAACAAACAGAAATTAAACTGGGCAAACTATGTTAACATAACAAGACGTTCATCCTTCAATAGGTTCCATCAAAACCTTAGACTAGATATTTAGCTACTCATACTAGTGTTCATCATAAAAATATTCAAATTCATCACAAATCGTAAAAAACAAAAGGAAGAAAGGAAGAACTCGATGTTGAATTATCCTCCTTCCCACTTTCCTCTCCTTGCCTTCAACTAAGTTATGAAAACCGTGATAATAATCTCTTGGGCGATCTAGACCTTCAATAGGTTAAAGTGGATTTGCCCCCGAACTTCAGAATTTACCCCTGAAGTTTAATTTTCCAAAACTAGGCTAGCGCGGTCGCGCTAGTGAACGCGCTAATGACCGCGCATATAGCCTATCATTCTGCCTCGACTTCCTGGGCTAGCGCGATCACGCTAGTGGACGCGCTAGTGGTCGCGCTAGTCCAGGTCTTCATTTTATCTCTTCTTTCTCTCGTCTTTCCACGTACTTAGCTTCTAGGGGCTTTTCTTGCTTCAATTTAGCTCCAGATACAGATTTAAGGCCTCATGCATGCCACTCACTCCTGCAAAGTGTGAAATTCACAATTAGATCCCATTTAACTATANAAAAAATATATATATATATATATATATATATATATATATATATATATATATATATATATATATGAATTTTAGTTGCTTATGCTCCGGGAAATTGCGTAGGAAGAGAGTTCGATAGATAAACTTTATGTAAATAATTATGTTTGCTTCAAGTTTTGGACATATTTACATTGTTAGTTTCAACAAAGATTGTTATGTCATATGATTTTGGAGTTAACTCAATGAAAGAAAAAATGATTCATACCAGATTGAACTTGTCCCATTGTCTCTTCTTGAGTATAGAAGATCTAAGTAATCCTTCTCTAAAGCATAATCCTTCTCGAAACCATTACTTCATTTTTTTTGTTGTCCTAAAGTTGTTGATTTATTTGTCAATATTATCGTTCGACTGTGATCCTGATTGGTCTTTTATCAACATCAAACACAAATTCAAAGAAAATATTGGGTTCACATAAATTAGTAACCAGTTCTTAAATAATTCTTTTAGAAGTGCGTATTTAATTATTTTAGTATTATAATTTTCTTACTATAGGATATACACAAAATCAAAGTTGTCCATTAGTCTCTTAAAATACCAAAACCATTGAAAAAGATTAAATATATCAGTGAAGCTAAAAAGGTAGTAGGAAGAGATTTGTTAATCTTTCACATGGACATAACTCGGGCAAAATATTACAATCTATAAACATGAAATTTTAAAAATAACATAGCTATTCTGTTGATTTTTCAATATCGAAAAACATATTGTTGAAAGTTCTGCAAAATTCAACACTTGTTATTTATGGGTATGAAGCCAACATATGCGAGAAGAAATAAATAAAAGCTACCGTAACCAAATCTAATACTGAGGAAATTATCAATATCTAGAAATCGCAACCAAATCTAAGTACATAATTAAACATCCATCTTCTGAAGATTATACAGCTACAATATATTTTGAAATTAGAGTTTGAATATTTGAAATTTTCTGACCAAGTTAAATCTACAAATCAACAGATATGCATGCATTTCATAATCTGAAACCCAAAAAGCCTACTGCATAGTCTTGATTAAAGAGAGAGGAGGGCAACACTTGATACCAAAACAAAAAAGAGGAAGGAGAGACAGAGGAGGGCAACACTTGTCTCTCCATCCTGCAGGATTCTTGCCTACACTTTCTCCCTCATGCCTTACTATCTAACCCTAAAAATTCAGATCTGATTTTTTTTTTAAAAAAAGAACTTTAAAAGTTAAAATAAAGAGCATACATACAGATCAAGATCTTTGGAAGAGGAGCTAACCAGTGAAGTGGATGTACCTTTGAGAAACTAATAAAAGAAGCCATGGGAAAAAGATCAAAAGCAAGATGGTTGAGAAAGAAGCAAAAAAAAATACCGTGGCTGAAGACTAATAGATGGAAAGACAATATTGCCCTTAATTTGAAATGTGTTGACATGAAGCAGCTATGTCGGAAAACTTGCTCTTCTAATTTGTTAGTCTAGCGTACCTCATTCTTTCACAGAGAAAATAGTTGAGAAAAAGAAGAGAAGCAAGAGAACTAAATTAGTTGGTAGTAATTGACATACTTTCTAAACATTGTCATGCATCTTTGTTTGTGCTTTGATTATACCCTAAGCTCAAATTTAGCATGCTCCAACGAACTCCTGCCGGTAAAAAGAGTGCGAGTACACACGAATAGACCACACATAACTGCACAACATGCAATAAATACATTAGAATCAGAAACCTCCTTCCACTCTAATAAAATTTATTTCACTAATATAACAAAATTATACCAGACACATGGAAAAAGGGCTAGCTGTAGGCAAACCCCAATAACTGTATCCAGCCATAAAGGAATTCGAGAGTAGCCAGCACATAGGCATAATGAACGCAAGGAATTCGCTCATCATGGTTTATCTCTTCATTTTCATTTTCCAGGAAAAAATAAACGGTCTTTATGGAGCAAGTGTACAATTGCATATTGACTATTTGATATGAACTTACTTTACCTTTATTAATCTGCATACTTCTTCTCTAGTACTCTATCATTATTGCAGCAGTTGCGCCAATTATAGGACGCGAAATTTCATTTAAGATGCTTGCTAAATTTTCGTCTTTTTACGTACAAGTGACTGGAGAAACATTTAGGGGAAGAAGAAGAAACAAACTCATTCTTTTATGCTCGAAATGAACTTATAGCCTATTAGGTGAAGCTTTTTTTTGGCCAAAAGTACTTTTTTGGCTAACAATATTTTTTCACAAAATTAAGATAATTCGTCAAACTTTTAAAAGGAAAAAATTACTTTTGAGTAAAAGTAGAAGTTATTTTTGAAAAGTTAAAAATGCTTCTCAAGTTGATTTGTCAAACACAAACTGCTCCTCACAAGAAATACTCTTTTGAAAAATACTTTTGAGAATAAGCTAGTTTTGAAAAGTTTGGCCAAGCAGGCTATTAGACTCTAGGTATTACCTGGTATGTTTCTACGAAAGCAACATCCTGCACAAGCAAATTAAAGGTAGACATTAATATTTCCATCAGGTAAGTTTTTGAAGGATCACTTGTCCAACTATTCAAATCAAAGTTAAGATGCAAGAAATTTTAGTAAGTTGAGTTGTATTGTGAAGTTAAAAGAGGAAAACAAATTTACTGAGCATATAGGAGAAAGAATACACTGGATGGATCTTAATGAGTACATGAGATTTTACCAAGCTGAGTTATCTTGTTTCATCGACAAAACTTTCAGTACTGGACAACTTCTGAAATCCTTTGCAAAGACACCATATGAATGAAAGTAATTTAAATCATGCAACAGGATAAAATGCACATGCTCCATAGCCTTTAAATGCTCTTTGTTGTACAATAAGATGTCAGAACAACATCTAACGAATATGCTCACAGTTTTGATCGTCGACGCAAAGATAGATCATTAAAACCATTCAATGGGAAGAGAACAAACCAACAGAACCTATATGAAATTGAGGTATTATTTAATAATTAAAAACCTCCACATCAAGCGTCCAAATTTTCAACCATATTGGTATGTAAAAATACCTTGGACACCAGAGAGTTGCCACTGGAAGTATTCTCCTTCTTTAATCAAAATCGAGTTGGTCCTTGGGCTTATTGTTTTTGACTCTCAATTGCCAATCTAATACCAAAAGGCTGTAAAAAAAATCATTAAGACACTAAAAATTTTAAGATACTTCTCAATTAAGAGCTTTAGAAATATCTCCAACAAATAAGCACTTGGTCACTCTGCCTCAGTCTGTTGAAAACATTATGATTAACTATCATATGTTTCTCTCATTAGGACACAGAACATTTTAAATTTAATCAAATAAAAAATGGAGAAATGAACTTTATTTTTATGCCGTGAAACATCTGAATACCAAAATACGTTAGTCGAGAAAGATATTTATTTTCTAATCATGTAAAGAACTTCTTATAAGATTCATTTGACGTAACAGTTAATGAGTCACTGAAGCTAGAGCACACACTCATAACAACAATTCAAGCCAAAAACCTAAAAGGATGAGCACCAATATCTCAAAAAAGCCATAATTTTCATTCTTAGTAACCTGAAATGCGAAGCTAGAATTTAGCAAGCACAACCACAAACAAACAAAATATAGTTGTCGTTCTTATGAACCTTAAAGGCCAACTTAGAATTCAGCAGAAGCACGACCACAAACAAACAAAATATAGATAGTGATAATTATATATGAAGGGGAAGGAAAGAGCGAAGAGTACCTGAAAGCATTGTGAGAAAGACAGAAATAGATGATGAGTATGATTCGTCGATTAGAAGCACTGGAACAACACAAATCTCCAAGCAAGTGTAGCTGCTCGGATGCACGAAAAATAATAAAAGGTTATTTTGATCAAGCAGAGATACAGGAAAACAAAGTAAAGAATCAAAAGCAAAAAAATGTCTATGCAATTTGATAAAAATTAATTAACCAAAACGTTGTGTACAAGCACCCCGAATGGGATAAAAACAATTAAGAATGAAGATTTACCTTAAATTCATGAACTAAACTGGCTTAAAGGCTGATTTTGCATATATTCAAGAAGAATTGGAAAATTTTGATTTTAGGGTTTTGATTGATGAAATTGAGGGCATTTTTGTTTTAGAAAAGATTATGAATTCAAGATTCCAGATCAACACAAGAAGAAAGTAATCTTCCCTCTTCGGGTTCCACCTTCCAATCTTTTGGTGGAAAGCGAGGCAGATGCAGTGATGAAAAGGGCTTGGAGTTACACCAAAACATTGGCCACAAATCTGCAATAGAAAGAGAGTACATAGTGAAATCAAGAGCTCACACTATAATGGAAGAAAGAAGACGATAGAAATAGAGAATTGGGCGAGATGAAGCAAGAGAATTGAGATGAAAATCAATATTGTGGGAGAGACTGAAGCAAAATGAAGGCGAAGAACTCTGTAACACAACGGCAGGAGCTAAAGCCACGTATGTTAATGGCAACCGGATTTCTAGACACGTACTATATGATATTGTAAGAATTGACTCGAAATTACTAATATACCCTCGAGCTTTTTAAAAATGACATGAAACACAGATGTCGAAGAAGATGTCTTACATCCGAAAGTTTTTGTTGGGGTTGCGTTTCTTTCATTTTTTATATAACGGGTTTGAATTTCTCAAATTAAAAATATTATCTTCGACCGTTGAGGACGGACCAGACCTATTAACGCTCTCAAGGTGAGCTTCCCTTTTACCCAATCTTGTGTTTTTGTTCCGCTGGAAATTTTTAATACACGATTGAACTCGTGATTTTGTAAGCTATTTTTATAGAATAGATTTCAGGGCCTTACTATGAAGTCTCAAACATGAAATACCAATGCACACTAGTAATGGGTGAAATTAAAAAATATCCAGATTTACAAGTGATAATTGGAAAATAGCTATAATTTCAGAAGTAATCGAAATTTAGCCACTTTTCATGTAAAGATATATCTGAACGAAAATACTATTTAAAATCCGAAAAATATTCCAGCATAATAAACTGGAGTTCCAGTATAATATACTAGTCCAGCATAATATGTTGGAAGTTGTCACGACCCAAAACCCCGCACTAGTCGTGATGGCGCCTCTCGTGAAGACAAGGCCAGCCAACTAACCCAAATAGTCCCTTTCAAAGTAGTTAAACATAAATGAATAGCAAAATGCGACTTAAGGACATTAATTAACGAAGTTTACAACCCAACACAGCCCGACCGGGGTGTCACAAGTCACGAGCATCTAGAGAAGCCTAAATACAACTACAGGGCCAACAATATACGGAATAAAATTAAGAACCAAAGGAAGTAATCCAGTGCCGCGAACGCTGGCGGTCACTCTGCTCAGCTACGATAGCAATACCTTCAACCAGCTCAAAACCCACTACCGGGTGAACAATACCTGCATCTGCACGCGAGGTGCAGGGAGTAAAGTGAGTACTCCAACTCAGTGAGTAATAAAAGTAAATAATAACTGAGCATCAAGAAATCACGTAAAGCAACCAACATGTTATACAGAAGCCGGGTGCAATTTTCTGAGAAAAACAATGAAATCTGTGAAATCTTTAGAAATACCTTGGCTCAGTTCAAATCTCTTTTAAAATGATCTTTTCAGTGATTACGAAAACGATTTCAAAACAGTTAGTGCTGATACGCACAGAAAATCCGCCCCTCGGGCACAAATACCACGGTATAACAGGTAAAGAGGCAAATAAGTATGCAAGATGAGCACATAAAAGTTCGCGCCTCGGGCAATATCTCAAAACAGTACCGGCCCCTCGGGCATGATTTATGTTCCTGGTCAGTCATTGTTACCTGACCGGTCAGCCATTGTTACCTGACCAAAACGCGTATTACAGTGCCATTGTTACCACTGGTCAGTCATTGTTACCACTGGTCAGTCATTGTTACCTGACCAAAACGCGTACAACAGTGCCATTGTTACCACTGTCTAACATTTATCCGCTCTAGATGGGTACCCGCGCTCACTGTGGGGGTGCAGACTCCGGAAGGGCTCCTACAGCCCAAATGCTATATCATCATAAGGCCTGAAAGCCTGTACATATCAACATGAGGCCTGAAAGCCTTCTCACAATACACTCGAGGCCTGAAAGCCTCCTCACATATCACTCGAGGCCTGAAGCCTCCTCACATATCACTCGAGGCCTGAAAGCCTCCTCACATCACTCGACATATCCTCACATATGGCCCTCGGCCTAAATCAGTCCAAAAATAATCATAAGCCCCTCAGGCATCAGTAAAGACAATAATGCTCAGCTCAAACAATAGTTCAAACATCAGTTAACACTCAAGGTTGAGTAAAAATATAGCTGAGTTCATGAAACAGTGTAATTCAAATGGACTGAGTTCAAATAATATTTCAAATAGTGAGGAAAACAGTGATGATAGCTCACAAGGATTTTAAACAGTCGGCAATAAGCCCCAAGTATGGCAATCAGCCCAAGTCATGATAATATCAGATAAGTTTCAGTCAAATACGCGATAAAATCAACAATCGGGACGGTCCAAGTCACAATCCCCAACGGTGCTCTACCCCACGCTCGCTATCCGGCGTGCAAGTCACCTCATTATAGCACTACGGCGTGCAAATCCAGGGTTTCAAACCCTCAGGATATCAATTTCAAATCATTACTCACCTCGAACCGCTAAGAAAACGATAAATAAGACAAGCGATCAAGCTGGCAAGTCAGGGATACAGGATGGATTTTTCCTAACCGGTGAAATCTCTANGAGAAGCCTAAATACAACTACAAGGCCAACAATATACGGAATAAAATTTAGAACCAAAGGAAGTAATCCGGTGCCGCGAACGCTGGCGGTCACTCTGCTCAGCTACGATAGCAATACCTTCAACCAGCTCAAAACCCACTACCGGGTGAACAATACCTGCATCTGCACGCGAGGTGTAGGGAGTAATGTGAGTACTCCAACTCAGTGAGTAATAAAAGTAAATAATAACTGAGCAGCAAGAAATCACGTAAAGCAACCAACATGCTATACAGAAGTCGGGTGCAATTTTCTGAGAAAAACAGTGAAATCTGTGAAATCTTTAGAAATACCTTGGCTCAGTTCAAATCTCTTTTAAAATGATCTTTTCAGTGATTATGAAAACGATTTCAAAACAGTTAGTGCTGATACGCACAGAAAATCCCCCCCTCGGGCACAAATACCACCGTATAACAGGTAAAGAGGCAAATAAGTATGCAAGATGAGCATATAAAAGTTCGCCCTCGGGCTATATCTCAAAACAGTACCGGCCCCTCGGGCATGATTTATGTTCCTGGTCAGTCATTGTTACCTGACCGGAAAGCCTCCTCACATATCACTCGAGGCCTGAAAGCCTCCTCACATCACTCGACATATCCTCACATATGGCCCTCGGCCTCAATCAGTCCAAAAATAATCATAAGCCCCTCAGGCATCAGTAAAGACAATAATGCTCAGCTCAAACAATAGTTCAAACATCAGTTAACACTCAAGGTTGAGTAAAAATATAGCTGAGTTCATGAAACAGTGTAATTCAAATGGACTGAGTTCAAATAATATTTCAAATAGTGAGGAAAACAGTGATGATAGCTCACAAGAATTTTAAACAGTCGGCAATAAGCCCCAAGTATGGCAATCAACCCAAGTCATGATAATATAAAATAAGTTTCAGTCAAATACGCCTTAAAATCAAGAATCGGGACGGACCAAGTCACAATCCCCAACGGTGCTCTACCCCACGCTCGCTATCCGGCGTGCAAGTCACCTCAATATAGCACTACGGCGTGCAAATCCGGGGTTTCAAACCCTCAGGATATCATTTACAATCATTACTCACCTCGAACCGCTAAGAAAACGATAAATAAGACAAGCGATCAAGCTGGCAAGTCAGGGATACAGGATGGATTTTTCCTAACCGGTGAAATCTCTAGCTCGCGACGCCCTTGCCCCATCAAATCGGCTTCCACGCGCGTCGAATCTAACCAAATCAGAGCGAATACATCACAACATGCTAAGGGAACAATACCCAATCGAACAATCGAAAAATATCAAGAATCTCGAAATTAGCAAAACCAGAGCCCCGGGCCCACTTCTCGAAAAATCAGAAAATTAACATCAATGGATTCCTCATCTTCTCACGAGTTCATACATACCAAGAACTCTCAAACCCGAGCTCAAATGACCCATCAAATCCCAGTTTAACATCTCAAAATTCCAAGCCCTAGTTCATCAATTTTAGGCTTAATTTTCATGAATTTCTAGGTTAATTTCACATATAATCATGTTTTTAACTCATAAAACTTACCTCCAGTCAATCTCAGTCGAAACCCTCTTCAGTTGCTCCCAAAAAGCTCTCAAGATGTTCGACAATGGAGGAAAATACCCTTAGCCCGCGGATGAAATGTTATTTTAAAAATCTTCTCTGCCCAGCTCTTTTTCGCTTATGCGGTCCCGTTTCCGCTTATGCGGGACCGCTTCTGCGACTTTTATACCGCTTCTGCGGCCCAGAAATCGCACCAGCAGGACCGCTTCTGCGGCCCAAACTTCCGCTTCTGCGGAAAACCCAACTCAAGCTCCAACCGCTTCTGCGGTTCCCCAATCGCATAAGCGATACCGCTTCTGCGGTCCAAATTCCGCAGAAGCGAAAACATACCAGAAGCAGCAGACTTAGCACATGAAAAATTCCAAAACTCTCCTTTTAACCATCCGAACTCACCCCGAGGCCCCCGGGACCTCAACCAAAAAATACCAATACGTCCTAAAACATTATTCAAACTTGTTCCAATCATAAAAACACCACGATTAACACTAAAACCATCAAATTACATCAAATCCAAGCCTAAGTTCTTCAAATTCTTCCGAAACTCGCATTCGATCAAAAACCCAACCAAACCACCTCCGAATCATCTAAAATTTTGCACACACATTCCAAATCACCTAACAAAGCTACTGAAACTCTCGGAATTCCATTCCGACCCTCGGATCAAAATCTCACCTATCAATCGGAATTCGTTCAAAACACTAACTTCGCCGATTCAAGCCTAATTCTATACCGGACCTCCAAAATCAATTCCGATCACACTCCTAAGTCACAAATCATCCCCTGAAGCTAACCGAATCACCGGAAATCACATCCGAGCCCTATAACTCATAAGTCAACCTCCGGTTGACTTTTCCAACCCAAGCATTCCTTAAAGAGACTAAGTGCCTCATTTCTTATCAAAACCAATCCAAATCAACTCTAACACACCAAATACCGATAACGAAACATGAAGAAGCATAAAATGGGAGAAACGGGGCGGTAGCTCTTGAGATGATGGGTCGGGTCGTCACACTTGAAGATTTTGCCAGTCAATAGCTTTTGTGCATTCACAAGAGGCAGCAGTCCTTTCTGAAAAGACAAAATTGGTTATTTATGTGTGAGAGAAGGCTCAACTTGGAGAAGATACTTTTTTGTGCTTTTTTAAA